GAGATCAACTCATAAATGTCTTAAATGCTTTCGTCAACGCCAGCTAACAACACAACAGTTCATGACTGATCTACAAGCAGTGCGGGTTCGACAAGCACATCCCTTTGAAAATATAGGGTGTGATTACGCTGGACTCTTCACACTGAAATTATATAACGGAAAAAATGCACGTACCTCTAAGGGGTATATTTGCTTATTTGTTTGCCTTGTTGCATCTGCCATACATCTCGAACTCGCTACTGACCTAAGTACTAATTGTGTCTTAGCAGCACTTCGCCGTTTCACGTCCCGTCGTGGAAAGTGTTCTTCAATCTTTAGCGATAATGGAAGGAATTTTCTTGGTGCTTCTCATGTGTTGAACGAGATACATAAAGCAATTATGTCACAGTCTCAGAACGAAATCATTTCCGCATCTTTAGCAGAAGACGGAATCCGATGGAGTTCTATTCCACCAAATGCGCTACATTGGGGTGGAATCTGGGAATCGGCAGTGCAATTTAGTCAAGTTACGTCTACGTCGCATAATTGGCAATGCAGTGCTTACGTTTGAGCAGATGAATACCTTGCTGACACAAATTGAAGCGGTTGTGAATTCTCGTCCCCTAAGCGCTACATCAGACTCGGATACTAATTATCTTTCTCGTTCTCATTTTTTTAATTGGTCGTCTGTACACGTTGGTGCCAGAAGACGATCTAAGTCATGTAAACGTCAACAAATTAGACTACTGGCAGCACATACAAAATATGGTTCAAGGATTTTGGCGTACATAGCATCAGGAATACTTAACATCCCTACAAAACCGTCCGAAATGGTTTCGTCGGCAACCAAATATAGCTGTGAGCAGCATAGTGGTCATTAAGGAATCGAACATACCACCAGCAAAGTGGCTTATGGCTAAGGTAACTGAAATACACCCTGGTTCAGATGGGCTCGTTCGAGTTGTAAAACTTCACACTGCCCACGGGGAGATAACGCGACCCATTACGAAGATTGTTGTTTAACTATATTCTGAAACGCTGTTCCAGGGTCGCCCAGAATGTTCGTGAACCGAAATACACATTATTCGTTGTTACAGATTGCATTGTGATTGCAGCTTTTTATACATTTGTTATAAAAAGCAAAATTCATTGAAACACCGCCTTTTTGTGTGCACACTTTTTTTTGGTATTCTTGATTCTTCATTGTGTACATGTGGTTTTTTGTGTTTTGTTGAAATTTAAATTTGTAAGACTTTTTAATTAAAAAAATAAACGAAGTATCTATTGATCAATAATATATAAGGTGTATTATTTACCACAGGGCATTCAACTTCTGCCTGGATTGGTCGACACTCCTTTATTGATGACTGTATTAATGGCTTGAACTGCGAAGAAACATATGTATATATCAGTTTCTTTAAATTTCATCATACTTATCTGATTTATTTCAGCACACTCTTGCTGTTCCGATAACTGTGAAAGCGTAAACCCATTCGCGTTCAGTGTATCACAAAACTTGGAGGCAAAATCAAAACCAAGCAAAGCGTCGTACTCTATTTTATCATCTGACAACACGTCAAAACTTTGTTGAACTTCATCATCATCAACCTTAGTGTATCACAAAACTTGGAGGCAAAATCAAAACCAAGCAAAGCGTCGTACTCTATTTTATCATCTGACAACACGTCAAAACTTTGTTGAACTTCATCATCATCAACCTTAACCAAGCCCGTAACAATACCCAATGGCGTAATATTTCTTTTACCCAGACCACGATTGACACTTTTGCATGTCCACATTCACCAATTTTTTATAAATGCTGTTTTTTACAGTTGACACATCTGCCCCTGTATCAACGAGACTTCCACATTGTTCAATTTAATTTTTTTTAATTCGGTCTTTTTTAATGACAACATGTACGTCTCTTGTATTATTTGGACAATTTTTGGATATATGTCCTGCTCCATTACATTTAAAATATTTTGTTTCTATTTTACAATCTGCTCGTTTATGATTACCTGATCCACAATTAAAGCAATGGGTTATTGTAAAACTGCGAATGCCTTTCTTGTTACCATTAAACTGTTACTTCTCAGGTTTGTTGATTTCTCCTACCCGTTCGAATATTTCATATTTCTCTCTGAGTTCTTGATATGTTTTACAGCTATACAAACAAAATTTGTATTCATTTTTGATATATAGACCATCAACTATATATATCGAATAACTTATTCTACTTCCACATGACCCAGAATAGCAGTTTTTCTCATATTTAATACATATTCGTGGAAACCTTCTTCTCTCTTCTTTTTCCGCTCACTTAACATCTTATGTACTTCAGCGCTACTTAATGTTTTTTCAAATTCAGTTAACAGTGGTTCTTTCATTTCGTCATATGTATTAATTCACGTAGATTCAAAAAATAATTGCGCTGTCTTCACCATTTTCCCGCGCGCCTGTACATACTCCTATTTCTCATTTAATACCTATGCATCGACATTGCGCTCGAAATTGTCAAACCAATGACTCATCGGCACTGTTTCTCCATCAAAGTCTAAAATAATTTTTGCAAAATTTTTAACTGCTATTTTAGGCTCAGCTCGTTTGATTTCAGCTGCTTAAATTTTTTGTGTTAACAGTTGAATAAGCTGTTGCAAATTTTTTATTATTCCTTTGTGTTCGCTTTATTCGCTTGATGTTCGTGGTTTTCCTGCTTCAACTGCTGTTTCTGCTCATTGCGGCACACTGAATGATCTCCTTCTGAACGCCTGCGAATGTATGTAATATTGTTGTTCTTGCTTCTCTTTCTTTGCAACATTTTGCGCGCCTATTTCTGCCGCGCTCTTTTTATTTATTTCAGCTTGCGGCTTTGTTTTTTCTTTGTGTCAATATTTGCAAGTTTTTCGATGAACTTTTGACAACTGTCAATCAACTTAATTGCCCTTCGTATTTTATGTTTACACGTTTTTACAACATTTTCGTTCGAAGGCACATTTTATGTATTCGTAATTTGCGAATCACTGTACAATATTTTAATAAGGTTTTTTGCTCGACGGTTGAGCCCCCAAAAATAATAAGTAATGTTTCTTTATAACAATTATTTAACAATAAACATTTCACTTATGTTTAAAAATAAACAAACACACTTACACAGTGTGTTGTGCGTGTGCTAATTTTGTGTCGAAGAAAACTAAACGTAAAAATTTATTGAGAACTTTGGAATTTTCAAGTTTCTCTAACTTGTGCGAAGAATAAATAAATGTCATAAATAAGTATAAAACGTACAGTTTTGGTAGTTAAACGCGAAAATTACTCTTGCAACGCGATTTCAGCACAATATACCAATATCAGAAAACAAAACTAAGAACAAAAGGAATGGCCACACGTACAAGCGAACGGGAAAAAATTCAAAAAAGCAAAAGGCAAGTTCAATTCTCGAAATTTATTCACAAAACTATACGTGGTTCAGCATAAGGTGCTTGAAGTGCGGTCCAGTTCGAGTGTTTAGCAGAGCAGCGGCTCGCCACACTCCACAACAAAACAACCAAACAAACAACCAGACGAAAAGCTACTGTGCGTTAGTAGCGACGTTGTTGCATGCGGCCTGCAGAATACACACCACATCCCACGCATACCGTGACGTATAGCCAACAGCAGCAGATTGCAGTTATTGGCAGCAGTATACATCCGTAACACGTGTACATCTGGCGGTATCTCAACGATCAAATAATCAATCAATAAAATGCGTTTTATTTCATCTACCATAGGGGAACAACAACATTTTGGCGCATCAGGTAGGATTTTAGTAAGTGTTCTGTAAAGAAAATTCTGTTTCTATCTTTTTATTATTTTACTTATACCTTACAAGCCCTTCTTTTTATTATCTGTTGTGTAGACAAAACAAACATTTTTGTCGAATTGTCGCTTTAACTTTGATCATGTTACATTTAGAATGCATTTGACTCATACAGTTACAAATACATATGTATGTAACATAATGCGCGAGCCAAGTGATAAAGCATGTGTGGTCGTTGCACTAGCATGACCCAAATTCTTTAGGGAAGAGTAATATAATTATTATGAATATAAATATGGTATACGAATATGAAAATATTAAATATGATATATAATTAAACACTTATTATAAATATGTTAGAATAGTAAAGAATTATTTTGTATATTAAAATATTAAAGATAAAGAAGTAACCAATTAATTATTTCTAGTATATAAGAAATATAAAACATTGTTAGTATTTAAGTTTTACACAGTATAAATACCGGAATATTTTATTTAATAAAACAGACTCAATTCTAGATTTAAGGAATACACTTGTCTTCTTTTTTAATTACTTGTCACATGTTCTGTACGGCATAATAGCTGAGGAGAACTCTATTCTATACGGCATAACTGCTGAGAGAATAGAACAAGCGGCTGGAGAGCTAAGATAATACTCAAAGATCCTTCTAAATTCTGCGATCATCGATATAACAATCTTTATCCTGTCAGATTAACTTCATTCATACACTCATATAGTATATACATTACAAGGCGATCCTGCAACTAACGAACCTGAAGAATTTCTGAATCCTGCAATTGACGAAATTGAAAAATTTCTGAATCCTCCAACTGACGAACCTGAAGAATTTCCGAATCCTGCAACTGACATAGCTAAATTAAAATGATATTCCTGTAGGCTTGATAATATGCTCCCAGGTTCAGAACAACAAGAAGAAGCAACCGGCCTACCAGTATCTAGTTTTCTACAACTAGGAAATTTGGAACGCGTGCACCTAAAAGGTTTTGAAGAACTACATGAAACGGTCAATCACGAAGAATACTCCAAGGAACAACAGGAACGATTAATAATAGCAGAACAACTTCCAGAACTGAAAAATATAAAAAGAAACACCAGAACCGTGCATGAATCCTGCTTATGAATGTTGTCATGTAGGCCTGGGTAGGGGTAAACGAAGAATTAATAAAACAACGTGAATATTAATGACATTAACATACCTTGAAATTTATGTGGCTTCCATGGGTACTTCAGTTATTTTTTTTGATTATATCGCCAACATTGTCAAGGTGTTTTTAATGTGACCGCCAACAGTATTCCTCTTGCGCATAACTATTAAGTATGCTGTTCACCTTTTTATTATATGGTCCACAAGTAGTTTTTTTATATAGAATTTAAATGTGTTATATTTGCGCTCACTATTGAAAGAATTTCAATTCATTAAATCTACAACGTGCATTGCGCGCACGCTGTCAGTAAAAATAGAAGTAAACAAAAAAATGGTAAACAGAGAAGGCGAAAAGTAAAGCTTTTACGTTCAAGTCTCGTTTGTTTAGTGCAATATAGTAAGGCGAACTTCACTAAAGCTTCAGTAAAGTTTGACTTAATGAGAGGGGACAGTATTGCCAAGTGCGAATAACCACCTGAAATATCTAAGACAAATTGTAGCTTTATTGAAAAGGGGAAAGAAAAAAAAAAGCTTGTAACGACACAAATTTACAAAGTAAATTTCTGTGCTACATAAAACAAGAAGCAGAGAAAAACACAGTCTGTGTG